CTCCCGTGACCCCAGCCTCGGGCCAGGGAGACGCGCCCGCCGAGACCACGTGCGCAGAGGCGGGAGTTGGGGAGACCCTGCGCGCCAACTCGCCTGAGGCAGAGGATGGGGCAGCGGATGCAATGGTGGAGGAGGCCCCAGCCGCGCAGGTAGAGGAGAGAGAGGAGGAAGAGACCGGGAAGGTGGGGAAAGGGGCCGGGGCCGAGGCCGAGACGGAGGCCTGTGACAACTCGGAGCAGCTGAGCAGCAGCAGCACATCCGCCAAGTCTGGCTCGGAAGTCTCGGCGGTGTCGGCCTCCAAGGAGGCCCTGCAGGCCATGATCCTGAGCCTGCCGCGCTACCACTGCGAGAACCCAGCCAGCTGCAAGTCACCCACGCTCTCCACTGACACCCTGCGCAAACGCCTTTACCGCATCGGCCTCAACCTCTTCAACATGTGAGTGATCTCCGGCTCTGGAGCTGCAGGGCGTCCTGGGGGTGGGGAGGGGTCGGGGAAGTAGGGGCCCTGGAGGGAGGGAAGACGGATTAGCGGGGTGCCGGGTAATTTAGCACGCCATCCAGTGTCCTCCCAGATGGCATCTGTGCTGTGCCTGCTCCTTGAGATACTGTGTACAAATACAGATTTTACTTTTACTTGTTATTCATTTATTTTAAGAAAAATTAGGAACAAAATAGCATCTCAAACCCATGCTTTCACCACTGTTACTGCTTAAAATGAAGCTAGAGTTCGAAAAGTTAGACACTTTAAAAGAAAATACAATATTAAGTAAATAATAGTACAGGTAGCATGAGGATTGAGCAGAAAACCCTCGGGTAAGATAAGAAGTTAGGGACACACAGCAATCCCCTGGGGTTGATGAAGAGAGAAACAGACAGTGAGCAATGGAGAAAGTGAGGAAAGGTGAGTGAGGGACTGGGTGGGGGAAAGAGAAGAGGCCTGCTTTAAGAAGTACAGGGAGAAAGCGGAGGAGGGTGTGGGACAAAAGGGGTGGAGGGAGACAGAAAGAGAATTCGAAGCAAGCAGGGGTGTAGTACAAAGAGAAGGGGCATGGAAGGAGGGAGAGAATTGACTGTCAGAGGCCATAGCCAGAACCCCCAACCTTTTCTTGCAACCAGAATGTATAGAGCTGGTGGCAAGCAGAGGGCACACACATGGACATTTCAAGTATATGAGGCACTGATCTCCACCCTCCACTTGGCCCTTTCGCCACAGACCTGTGTCAGGAAATACAACATCCCTCCTGCCCACATGCATTATTTATTGAATGCCAGCACCATGACCACAAAAATGAGTAAGACATCCCCTGGTCTCCAGAAGCATATATCCTGGAGAGCATAGTTACTGTTCATAAAGCATCTGCAATCTTCCCAACAGTGTTAGAGAGAACATTGTTTTGCCATTTTGCAAAAACGAAACTGGCTCATAGAGTAAGGTGAGTTGCACACTGACACAGCTAGTAAGCAGCAGACTTAGGTAAAGCCAGATCTGTCTGACTCCCAATCCATTGCTTTTTCTTTCTTTTTTTAAAAAAATATATTTTATTGATTTTTCACAGAGAGGAAGGGAGAGGGATAGAGAGTTAGAAACATCGACGAGAGAGAAGCACCAATCAGCTGCCTCCTGCACACTCCCCACTGGGGATGTGCCCGCAACCAAGGTACATGCCCTTAACCGGAATCGAACCTGGGACCCCTGAGTCCACAGGCCGATGCTCCATTCACTGAGCCAAACAGGTTAGGGCTAATCCATTGCTTTTTCTTTTACCTCAGGCTGCTGTCCTCGTGAGCAGCCCCCACCGGACACACCCCAGCATCACTTCGGCATGCACACAAATGCTCACACAGATACTTGGATCCCTCAAGACAGTGGTTCTCAAACTATCTGTAGTGAAGGACCAGTTTGGGTTTTTACCCAACACATTGTGGGTCCATACTTTTATAAACTACAATTAAAATGAACTGCTAGAAAAACAATCACATGCTTGGTTGTCCTGAAAATGTCAAAGTGCTATAAAAGGTTCTAAATGCTTACCCTCTATTTCTGTTCTTATATTCTCCTGGGCCAGTAAAAAACAGTTCAGGGAGCAGCGTGGATTTGCAGACCAAACTGTGAGCACAATTGCCTTAAGACACAGCACCCACACCCGCACCCGCACCCGTAACCACACATAGACTCAAGCCTGAGAAAGTAAATGCTGGGGAGCAGGATTTTTGTGTAGCCACCATCCACAGGGAAGAAGGGGTGTGGGAGAGATCTCACTGCTGTTTCCCAATCTCATCCTCTCCAGATTCCAGGGTGGGTACTACATGTAGACAGCAGGATGCCGGCAGAAAGGACTTTGGGGACCTCTTGGCAGGCCTTGGAGACCTCAGGATGAGATCCATGGGAGTGAGGCCAAAAGAAAGAGGACACCTCTGCACCTGCTCTGGAATTCACTTTGCTTGGCCAGACTTCCCCTCCCCCCTTCCTGCCCCACACGACCTTCACTCCTGTGTGGGTTCAGGAGAGTGAGGCTCAGGTGAAAGGTGATTCTGATAGAGAAGCCCTCTGTGGAGGAAGGGATCCTGGCATTTCCTGAGAATTCTTTCCAAGAACCTCCAGGCACTATTTTGGGTTCAATTGGCTGGAAGAACAGAAAAAGAAGTCATGGATGGCCTTGGCTCACTCTCTATTCCTTCTCCCCACCCCCATCCGCACCCCCAGAAACCCGGACAAGGGCATCCAGTTCCTGATCTCACGTGGCTTCATCCCTGATACCCCCATCGGAGTGGCCCATTTCCTGCTCCAGCGTAAAGGCCTCAGCCGGCAAATGATTGGAGAGTTCCTGGGCAACAACAAGAAGCAGTTCAACCACGATGTGCTAGAGTGAGTGCTCCGCCCTCCTGGCACTCTCCCTCCACTCCACTCCACACCCCCTCTCCCTGCAAGGATGTCCAGAGGAGCAGGGGAATCTCAGCTGGGGAAGGACTCAGGGAAGAGAAAGGGACCTCTGAAGTCTTGGTCATTTTCAAGAAATCCTCTCCCCAGTCCTAGCAGCTTCCTGATTGGCCCCAGGAACCAGAATATCCATGACCTTTAGCTAGTCTCCGCATTTTGACCAGCCTGTTTCCCCTAGAAAGTCTTCTATTTATTGGGCACATCGTGCACAGAGTACCATTGGTACAGAAATAGTCAAGGGTAATAAAAAGACCACCCTCTCTGCCACCCTCAGGGGCAAAAGAATGAGCCTGGAAGAGAAGAGGGCTGTTCGTGCTGGGGCCATCTCAGCCTGGGGAACAGGCCCTCAGCCCACCCTCTCCCTGCCAACTGTTCAGAACCCAGACCCCCAACAAGCATCTGTCTGCTCCCCAACCAGGGTCGTTTTCATATCAGTAGAGGCAAACATGAGGCAGAAAAAAAGGGGGGGGGTTAGGCTGAGGGTTTTTAGAGCAGGAAAACACTGACCACCCAAATCACAACAAAGAAAATTGCTCTAATGTCTAATAGATGGGGGATAAGGTGAGGGGCTGCTTTTGCCAGTGCTCAGCTTTGTCGGTGTGGACGGGCAAGAGTCTCTTCACACATTGTATGTGGGAAACGTATTTATACGTTTTACGTATTTATACGTTCTACCAGTGTAGTAGAGCGCGGGACACGTATTAATACATTTTTTATAGACTAGCAGTAGAATGCGGGTAACATATAAATACGTAAACTAAAGTTATCGTAATTTTACTGAACGTTGCCATTTGCACAAAAAATTAGCAAAAATGGCCCGCGCCACCTGTTAGCGCGCGATAAAAACTACCCGCAAACAATGTGTTCATACTCGCTTCCCTTCTGGAGATGCAGGGCAGAGGTGGCATTACTTGGGGCTGAGGAGCAGGGCCTTGGAGCACCCTTCCCTTGGCAAAGAGAGGGTGAGGTCCTAGGAAGTCTGCTCCAGACCTCCACCACTCCCTGATGCTCCTTCTCTCTTCCACTAGGCCACCTAGGCTCAAATGTTCTTGAAGGTCATTATTCTATAGGGAGCCACCCCCACTTCCCTCCCCTCTTTCTTCTTGGATACAGTCAGCAGGAGTTTTTCCCTGGGGTGCTAGGAGAACCTCTCCTTTTTGTCCTTGCTCTTGGAGCAGCAAGGGTCTGCTACAGAGGGACAGAGGGCTCCTGATGGAGTCTTTGGAAGCGTGGAAGTCACCCAACCTGTCTGGCAAGGTTGTCAATGTCAGAGACCTGGCTTAGTTCAGTGGTGGTCTTGGTGCTGTGTCTTCTGGTAAGTCACTGCCCTCTGGGCCTGCGTTTCCCTGCCTGTAAAGTAGGGATGTTGGATTATGAGGGGTAGACCAGTTGCCCTCTGGAATCCTTGTCACATTCCTAAATTCACTGATAGGGTGGTTGTCTCTAACTGAGCACAGTCAGAGAGTGGGGGCTTGGATCCATCTGAGGGACCGTGAAATCCCCAGATGGCCCTTAGTTGGCAGAACCCAGCTCCTGCCTGTGACTCTCAGTGGCCTTGGACAACTTGCTGTCCCTCTCAGATGGTTGAGATGCTCTGAATGCCTCCCAAGGAAAGTAAACCAATGCATGTGCAGCATTTCCCTGCACCCTCCTTTCCTCTCCCTCTGCCTCTGGCTCCTCTTCCCCTTTACCACACGCCTGCTGTGTAGGGTGCCCCGGGGAAACAGGAAAATAGAAAGAGAAAGATCGAGTTTTCCAGGTGCCTTCCTTCCCCTGTTTTTCCTCCATCTGGTTCACCTCTCTGGCTTTCTCATTGGCTTTTGCCCCCCTTCTGTTTTGTAGGAGGGTGAGTGGAAGTGTTGTTCCCTATGGCTTTGTTCTTTCAGATGCTCCAACACCCTGGGTGACCCTGCTTTGTCTCCAAGCTTCACTCACAGTCCCTGACCTTCTGTGTCCCAAGTCCTGGTATTGCCTGGTCCTGGGATTTTAACCTGTCAGGCTCACATTGGCCTAGAGTATTGGGAACACAGCGTTTTTCTCCAGTCCAGGTCATGCTGAGCAGCACAATGGAAACTAATTGCCATCTTCCCTGGGAGACGGTGTGTGTGCTGGAAACTCAGACCAGCCATGCAGCCTGTGCTGTCAGGGGACCTAGGCTAGGGACTGGGCTAGCAGCTAAGGCAGAGCGAGGCCTGGGATGAGGAGGGCAGTGTGTGTGTGGGGGGGGGGCGGGGGGGGGAGGCGTTAAGAGTGGGGGAGGAGGCAGGGGAGGAGAGATGGCTGGACCTGAGAGAAAGAGCCCTCCTCTGAACCTGGCTCTGCTTCTAACAGGCTGTGTAGCTTTTGGAAGGCACTTTGCCTCTAGGCCTCAGTGTTCTCATCTGTAAAGTCAGAGGGTTGGGCTGTGTGACCTCAGAGGTCTCTCCAACTATCTATCATTGTTCCCATTGCATTCGTAGCACACTGGAATCGTGCAGAGTCACCTGCCCTGAACATGAAGGTCAGGCTCTGTCCTCCTGCCAGAGCATCCCTCGGGCTCCAGGGCAGCGTTGGCACCAAAGTTCATGGAAGAACCAGATGACCATTCATCATTCATTCAGTGAACATTGAGTGCCTACCATGTGCTGGAAATGGGGCTGAGCCTGCTGTCCACTGTGTGGAAGGTGGGGTGGAGAATTGGGGAGGAATAGGAATGGCTCATGGCCTTAGGGAACTTACAGACCCAAGTGTCAATTGGGAGAGAAGAATGGAAAAGACAGGCGTGGAAAGGGAGGCAGGGGTCGGAGCAACCTCCCACGGGCATTGTGGGTTTGGGGAAGACTGAGTACAGAGCTGAGCCCCAGTTCAATGCCTCGGTCCCTGGTGCTTTATTCTGCAGCCACACCGGCTTGGGCTCTGAGGTCTCTGCACACTAGCCTCTGTACACAGAAAGAGCCCTCTTCCCCCAAGTCTGCAGTGTGCTGACCTGCAAAGTGTCAGGAGAAAGAAGGTGGAGAAGCAGGAAGAGGCAGGCACTAGCAGGGGAGCCAGGCACTGGGGGTTTTGGTATTTCTCTGCCACTCAAGCCAACTGTCCTGGTATCTGTCGGATCCTCTGCCTCTTCCTTACTCCCACCAGGGAGAACACACAATAACCACGTCACCGGTGCCATTTCGCTCAGAACTGAAAGGCTTCATTGGGATTCCACACGACTCCCCTGCCCCCGCATGGTGACATTCAGCAAGTTGCATTCATTCTGTACAAAGCTGTTTGCTGAATAAAAGGACATAAGTCACCCATCCCCTTGGAGACTGAGACAGCCCAAGCCACAGCATTCTCCAAGAAGCAGCCAGACAGGAAGGAGAGAAGTTGAAAGCCTCTGGAAGGGGAAAGGATGGGACCCCCAGGCCCCTCCCCCATTCTTATGCCTGTGGGGGACAGGAAGAGGGGCTGAGCAGGCTGCCCTGTGTCTGAGCATCATAGATGCGGTAACGTTTGCCTCCAGAATCAGGTCCTCAGGGCTCTTAGAAGCTGACCTCTCCATCTCTTTGTGTCCTACTTCCATAGAAGACACATTCCAAGAAGGAATGTATTCAACCGGGCTTCATTCGAGTAATAAAAGAAGGCCTTCTGAGCTCAAAAGGTCCTGGCCATTCGTGTTTACCTGGAAAGGGCAATTTTGTGTTCTCTTAAGGAGAAACCAGCCACACTTTCCTCATTTGTCCAAAGGAGATTATAGTACCTACCTCGTATGAATTAAATATTTTAGATGCATATAAAGGGTTTAACTCGGCTCCTGATGCTTAGTAAATTCTTTTTTAAATGTTACCTATTTCTATTATCTTTCCTACTGGAAAGCACAAGGCATTAGATACGCCCCACCATGAACCTACCTACCCCCACACACCCCACCCCCAACACAGGGACACCGCAGACTCCTCAGGTCTGGTTTGAACAGCAAGAACTTGTGGGCTTCTGGGGAAGGAAGGGATCATGCTGTGCTCTGAGGAAGTCCTCTGGGTACTGAGGATACAAGGGCAGTGGCCGCCCAGCAGCGGGAGCGACAGTGGGAGCGAGAGAGCCCCAGGGATTGGGGTCCTTTGGGGCTGATAGCTTCTCCCACTCGGTGTTCTGAC